TTGTTATGACAATCTCTTTGAATCTACAATTCATCTACAGCAGTCTGATCCAAACATTAGAGGGCTCTTTGCCACCACCCTAATCTTCAGCCTTTAACAGATTCAGTATTGATTCAGATCTGGTCTACAACTGGACCAGATCCAAAATGTTCTTACGGAGAATTACGGAATTAGGCATTAGCTGTCAGAATTCTAAGAAAAAAAGTCAGAATACTGAGATTAAAGTCAGAATTATGAGATTAAAGTCAGAATTCTAAGATTAAAGTCAGAATTATGAGATTAAAGTCAGAATTCTAAGATTAAAGTCAGAATTATGAGAAAAAAGTGAGAATTCTAAGATTAAAGTCAGAATTATGAGATTAAAGTCAGAATTATGAGAAAAAAAAGTGGAAATTCTAATATTAAACTCAGAATTATGAGGAAAAAAGTCAGAATTCTAAGAAAAAAAGTCGGAATTCTGAGATTAAAGTCAGAATTCTGAGATTAAAGCCAGAATTAAGAAATTAAAGTCAGAATTATGAGAAAAAAGTCAGAATTATAAGAAAAAAGTCAGAATTATAAGAAAAAAGTCAGAATTAGGAAATTCAAGTCAGAATTATAAGATTAAAGTCAGAATTCTAATATTAAAGTCAGAATTATGAGATCAAAGTCAGAATTATGAGAAAAAAGTCAGAATTATGAGATTAAAGTCAGAATTACGAAATTAAAGTCAGAATTATGAGAAAAGGTCAGAATTATGAGATTAAAGTCAGAATTATGAGAAAAAGTCAGAATTATGAGATCAAAGTCAGAATTACGAAATTAAAGTCAGAATTATGAGAAAAAGTCAGAATTCTAAAAAAAAAAAAGTCAGAATTAGGAAATTCAAGTCAGAATTTTAAGATTTAAGTCAGAATTATGGGGGGAAAAAATGAGAATTCTAAGATTAAAGTCAGAATTCAAAGAAAAAAGTCAGAATTCAAAGAAAAAAGTCAGAATTATGAGATTAAAGTCAGAATTCTAAGAAAAAAGTCAGTTTTGACTTTAATCTCGTTAACTTTTTTTTTTTCAGTGGCCCTAATGCTCTTCCGTAGAATCAGGTGTTGGGAAAACTAAAATAAACTTTCTTTTCTTTACTTTTCAGTGGTAAATTTTATTAACATCGTAATTGTTTTCGTTCACAAACAAATGAATAAGTCGATTTCACCGTTTGGGTGGGACTCATTCAACTTGGTATCAGTTCATAACTGGGTGCAACACGCCCACTTTTTAGCTGACAGCTTTCCAAAAACATTTCTCGTTTTTGGCTGAAAAAAAAAAAAAAAAAAAAAGTCTTTCCACCTTCATTTCTTCAGTTAACTGGAATGTCTTATTAAGGCACAGATTTATTAAGTGATATCTTATTTAAAGATATCAAACTCCAACACAGAGCGGTGCATAACAATCCTTGCCGTCAGACATTGCACTAATATGACGAAGTAATATTGATCTGCATATATGTTCGTTACATTCATTTAAAAGTTAGACTAAAACAACTTTTTTTCCCCTTTGCAACCCGCTGCATCTCTAACACCTGGAAAGCGACTCCACGCCGCTCTACAGCGTCTAAATAACAAAGACAAACAGTTTAGCGTGCTAACTGTAAAGCTAATGGTGGCAAAACGAGCTAGTTAGCACCGTAAGGCTAACAAGGAATTTCTGATAAACAAATGTTGCAGTTATAAAGGGGGAACTATAACAGCAGGTATCCGAGCCTCATCCGCTCCTCGCGGACAGCAATTTACACTGGAAGCCAATAAGAAGAGCCACCGAAACGTTATTAATATCATTCCGCCTCAATCACTCCTTCGCCGCACAAAGCAAAGCCCACACGCAATACTATATCCGGGGACTATATACACCACATTCAAGTGTTAATAAATAGACTGCGGTGGTACTTAGTAAGATAATACCCGGCTTTTTGGGTAGCGCATAACCAGTGCTATTTATTTCTTGCATTTTGGTACTTGTTACCTGTTTCGTCCTTTCTATCTAGGATGAGTTTGCGAGGCCGGCCCGGCGGCATAGTTCCTGTGCTCAAGACGGTTGTGCTGTGAACGATTCGCGTTTCCAAAATGGCGAATCGGTCATCTATAGACAGCAGGGACTCCATGAAGACGCTAAAATACACGGAGTACAGAGACATCTACCGTCTGTCTCACTGTACATGCAGATTATACGCAAAACATTTTCGAGATGATCGTCCAAGTTAGAATTATAAATAATAATACCTGAGTTTATTAAAAAAATAATTATATAAAAAAAAATGATTACATTTTCAAGTAGGGTCTCAAATAAATGAGATAACGTAATCTTTAACTCAAAACTTGCTACTTGAATAAAATTAAATATAGGACAAAATGAAAAGTATTTAAAATCAGATTTATATATA